AAAAAAAAAAAAAAAAAAAAAACAACCACCACAAAAAAAAAACATAGGGGGGGGGGGGGGGGGGATGAAGTAAACCCTTTAGACTCATTAAAGGGTAAGAGCACTGTCACAGAACAGGTCACTAACCACTAAAGATATATAAAGATATGTTCAATCATAATTTCTCTCTCCAACTTTCCTCTGTAAGTATTGTGGGAATATTACCAAAAGATAGTATTATTCCAACACAGAATAATCATGACAGAGACAAATCAGCTTAGTAAGACAGTTTCTGGTACAAAGATTCAGAGACTAATTTGCATGCAAATCTAAAATATATAAATGGGTGTAGACCTGAGCTGCATAGCCCACTGTGGCCTAGAACTTCTGAGTTCAAGTCATCTGCCAACCTCAGCCTCTAGAATAACTGGATTGCAGGTTCATATCACTGCACCCAACTAAACCAAATGTTAAATCAAAAGCCACAACTGAAGAGGCATTGTTTAAATTTTGTATGGTCTAACCATTAAAATACAGAAGAGAATGTCTGAGATATAATTAACAGTGAAAAAAACCAAAATTTAGAATTAAATCCTAGACATTGACATTTTGTTCTCCTACAGAATACTTCCACTATAGAATTAAGAACACCACATGTAACACCACATGCAAAAAGTATTACATAAATGAACAAAAATGCAAAAACCTATTTCAGGCACGTGAATATTTTCTGTGATGAATGATCTCTCTCGCCTTATCAAAAAGGGCTTTGAAAAAGTCCTCATAAATTCCATTATGATTTTGCCTACAGCAAGTAGGCTGCTGTTTTAGAAAAAATGCCAAAGCCTCTTTGTGCACCTGGAATTAGGCAAATGTTTATATGGATACGGATTACAGTAAATGTTTTATTCTACTGGTTAACAACCAAATAACAGAAAATCAATAAGGTGATCATAAAATTACCCAATCCTTACACTGAATTATTTAGGAACTTTATTATAGTGTTCCCTGCAATTTAATAATTGGAAACAAACCTTTTCGGGAATGCTTTCTCTTTCGTCGCTTAACTGTCTGACATTTTTCTTGATTTTTCATCTCAAGGTTTTTCTTTTGTAGGTTCTGAAATTTCTGTTGAAAGAGAAAACTGATTTTTTTTTTTGGCTTTATTATAGTAAATTGAGTAGCATAAAAAAACAACCTATTTTAACTTTTCCACAATACCAAAAAAAAGTACAATATTCAAAACACAGCAGTTAGTGAAGATGCTTACATATCCACTGTACATGTGCAACTCAGCTCAGCTCATACATTCATGGATTATCTTGATATAAGTACATGATACTTTCATTTTTTTTTATGTAGGAAAGTTTTACTTACTTACTTACTTACTTACTTATTTATTTATTTATTCAATTTATATAGCTGCCCATCTTAGACCAGTGACTCTGGGTGGCTATATAAAATGAATGAATGAATGAATGAATGAATGAATGAATGAATAAATGAATGAATGAAGTTCTGTAGACATTGACTTCAAAACTCTACATAAAGGCTGAGATCCAAAAAGTTTAATATATGTAAGCATGCCCAATGGGACTTTATTTTCTTCTTTAAAAAAACATAACATCACTAAGGATTATGATTATGCAACACTTCAGAACATATGGGAACATAAACGCAGCATCTTCTATAATAATTAAAACAGCCACATCTGCTTTCAGAGTTATGCACCCTACTGAACATGCCATACAACTTGCCACTTTTGAAATTCCTTTTATATGTAATCAGTGACTTTGACACTACTCTAAGAGTTGCTGAACTTAATGTAGCTCTAAAAGAGCTACATCTCTTTCAGGCTCATGTACAAGCAAGCAAGCAAGCAAGCAAATAAATAAATAAATAAAATGATGGGCTGTAAAAAAGCATTTCTCCTAAATTATTCTCAAAACATGCAAGCCCTAACAAACAAGTGTGAAATCCATTTAATGAATATAGTAAGGAATCATTCATGAGTGAGTTAAGAATTCCATAACATTTACTACACACACACACATACATACACATAAACATGGCAACAGAAGTCAAAATCAACCTTAAAAAATCTAAAAGAGATCCAAGAGTACTCTGGTATATAAGCACTTCAGTGATTATATATTTGTTGAAAAGGAATTCATCACAACTTCCTCCAGTCTTATTTAAAATAGAAGTTTATTAAAAAAATGTTATTAAAACAATATTTTTCTCTATAACAGAAAAGCTTAAAAATACAGACGATATTCTATTCAAAATATATTTAATTTACTCTTGCCAGAAGGATTATGTGCCTAGATATCAACAACAGGAATAACTAATCTACACTTCAATTTCAATGAAATACAGAGTTGTAAACAAACCTACATTCCACATATCTAAGGAAATTCCAGGAGGGCATGCCAGACATTCCTGTTCTTCTGCAGAAGGAAGTTGGTTTTCAGCTATATTTTTTTCCTCATGATCACTAGTCTGTTTGCCTAGGAATTCCTTTTCTTCTCTTTTTTCATTTAAGATAAGATTGGGAAGGGACACAGTTTCATCATCATCTGAACTTATGGCAACATCAGCTTCATTCACACCAGGAGGTAGTAGACCACTCCACATCTCTAGAAATGAAAGATCAAATACTCACTATCATCATGAAGGAATCTTCAGCAAAATTATTAAAAATATCTCTAGGGCATCTTTACCAGTGATAAAACCAGGGCAAGAATTCCTGATGCACTGCAGTCCTTAACTATTTGTTCATTTGTATCAGTTAATTCAGGTTCATTTGCTTCTCTTTAAGATCCAAGGAAATTGAATATGAACATAAATTAGCCATACAAGAAATGAGAAAAATACAGAACTGCAAAAATAGCAATGCTTCATTTAAATAGCTTAAAAGACTTATTAGAACTAATGTCCAATAACCTACAATTTATTAAAAAAAATACCAATGTGCATAAGTAAATTAACTACTGATAATAGTACATAAGCATTTGTTTTTACTGTTGTTCTGGCAGTTTTAGCAGCAAATATTTTGAATCATATACAATTTTTAAAAAAGAGAAGGTACAAAGAAAATGTAAAATCATATGTATTTGTAATAATCTGAATAAATGTATAGCATATTCGCTATGATTCTTTAACTAGAGTACACACAGTGCAATAATACAAGATTTCCTATCCAAGCTCAATTTCTGTGAATAGTAAAATTATTACACTATAATAGCAAACACTTTAGCTTAGAAAAAGATAAAGCAATACAATAAAAGAAATCTAAAGAATAAGAAAAAAATAGCGGCATGACATCCATTTAAAGCAGAAAAGTATCTGAAAAGAGAAATTAATTAAATGTTAAACATTTGCTCATATTGCCAGAAGTCTTTAACAGTTTCTTGGAAGAAGATGACTAATCTCCAATTCCTTGGCACTACCACTAAAATCTCCTATTCCTGAGAAGGAAAAAGTTCTCAAGTTAGGATTGCCTGATATTTTACTACATATATACATACAAAAAGGATTCTAAAGCAGGAAACAAAAAGCATTGGTATTTTACCAATCTTTAATATTGTTAAAAGAAATTGTAGTTTTTTATTCTACTCCTCATACTGCATGATTTAATTTTACTACTATGCCTATAGTATTTTATTTTGGACTGGAAATCACCCATGAAGCTTGGTGGTAGTATAGAAATGTTTTTATACATAAGTAAGTTTTCTTAAGGTGGGCTGTTTTCTTTACATTTATAAAAGTAGCAATTACATATTTTCCTAGACTTATTCATCATTCACCAATTTTTCAAACAAAACATATTCTGCAGTTGTTCTAGATGTCCCTCTTCAACTTTTGTGTGCATATGTATACATGTGGTACACAAAAAGATGGAAGAAGCAGACAAAAATAAAGAATGGAAAATGTCATCTCAACAACCTTGTATGGATCCATACATTTCCATGTATGGCCATCTTAGTCTCAGTCTGTTTCAGTTATAACTCTGAATGGTATGGCACTCTATGAAAAAAATCTGTGGCTATCCTTCTGGACTTACAGCTATTGTTCTCTGGGCAGGCACAGGATATGGCCAGGTAGGCCTATATCCAGCTTCAGCAGGTGTTCCAGTTGTAGCCATATCTTGGTTGAGAGCTCCCGGTGACAGTAACCTGTGCCTCATCACCATGAAGCCAGACTACTCCAGTGGGCTCTACACAGCACAACCTTTAAAGACTACTCAAAAACATCTGGTGCAAAATACTGGTGGAAGATGGCCACCTCACTCATGTTATACCAATATTGCAGAAACTGCACTGATTGCTGGTAAGTTTTGGAGTACAATTCAATGTGTTGGTTCAGACCATTAAAGCTCAACTTGGCTTGGTTCGTAGGTTCCATCAGAACCACCTTCACCAGGAAAAACTGTTCTGTCCACTGCATTTACTCAGCAGGGACAGTTATCTGGTGAAATTGAAGGGAGTGTTTTTCAGTTATGGAACCTGCTTCATGAAATAGCATCTCCCTCTCTCTGACACTGGACTGGCACATATTTTAACATCAATTTGCAAAACAATAAAAACTAATCTGTTCTACATGGCCTTGGATATTTAAGGCTACCTATGTTGATGGTACTTATAGATGATATTTTTACTGAACTTTTTGGTTTTATGAATTATCAACATTTTATTTATTTTATATTGCCCTATTTTGCTATTGTAAACTGTTATGAGCTGTACAAATTGGTGATATGTAAATACAATAAATAAACAAGTACCATACCCCACTCCCTAAGATTCTATGTAGTTCCCTTTGGGTCGCTCACCCATCCCTCATTTTTGCAGTACTGTTTTTCTGTTTGCTTATTTCTGTATTTTGTTTTTTTTATTAGTCCCTCCAAAATAGAACACTCTACCCAATCTTTGTTACTGTTATAAATGTTTCTGTTACATGTTTTATTTTAGAAAATCTCAAATTCTAGTAATTTTTAATAAAATAAGATTATGGTGCAGTCCAGTAGTTGTAGATAGACTAGAGGTCTCCTGATAAGAGGCTGGATGGTCACCTGTCAGGGATGCTTCAGTGGATCCTGCACTGAGCAGGAGGTAGTATTAGATGAGCTCTAAGGCCCTTTCCAACTTTATTCCATGATATGAAGCAACACATTATTGGTTTTACTTCTTGATGTCTGTCACTTCTGAATGAAATACATACATTTTAATTGTTAACCTGATTTTCTCATTTGTATAGCATTACTAAGAATATAGTTAAATACAACTGCTTTCCACTAAATAATTCACTAACAATATATATCAAATTATATATTGCTGAGCCTTAATAGTCCCTAACTCAAAAATGAGCCCACTTACAAATAGTGAAACAATAGAAAACAATTGCCTTTTATCATATTTATGTTTTCCCATTATTTGTTTTAATGTTAGAATCTCTGATACATTATAATTCAGGTACACAACTTGTATATACACTTATTCACACTTCATTTGAGAAAAATCAACACAGCTTACCAGTTTAGAAATCCAGGATGTTTCTAATCCTATAAATACACTGAATGAAGAACAATAGCTACAGATTATAGTAGGTGGCACAGACGTTATCTTATGAAGATTTCAGCAGCAAAAAACTAGCCAATCTGAGAATGAAATATAAAGATGCTTATCGTCCTTCATACAAGAATGTTATCCTTCTTGCCTCATGTCTCATTGTAAGGGCAAAACTAAACAGAGATAAAAATCCATATTCTTAATTCCAGCATTATTACACTCAGGTACAGAGCAGGTGTGTCATTCCATTTTTGGAGCAAACATGCTTGCATGGAGTAAGTATGGCTAATCCTCCTTTTCACTCATCAATCTGCAACATTAATTTCATGACATTACAATATTAGATCCCATCTGATGGAAATAATCAGCAGCAGTGAAATACCTTAATGTTTTCAAAGCAGAAAAGTAAACATGCTTATCACCCCTCCTTTTTTATTTGCATACCACTCAGTCATTCACAGCAACAGGTCTTGGCCCCATATAATTCCAGCATTATTACACTCAGGTACAGAGCAGGTGTGTCATTCCATTTTTGGAGCAAACATGCTTGCATCGAGTAAGTATGGCTAATCCTCCTTTTCACTCATCAATCTGCAACATTAATTTCATGACATTACAATATTAGATCCCATCTGATGGAAATAATCAGCAGCAGTGAAATACCTTAATGTTTTCAAAGCAGAAAAGTAAACATGCTTATCACCACTCCTTTTTTATTTGCATACCACTCAGTCATTCACAGCAACAGGTCTTGGCCCCAGATTACAAAATAGCTACCATCAAGTGTATATTCTTTTATTATCATTTAGAAGTTATTTCTACTATTAATAAATCTTACACTATGATATATACCCCGTTTTATATATTGCACCAAATATTTATGGTGTTAATGGTTCAGCATCTGGATTGCATCTCCTTCTAGGTTTCACCTATGTCCATGTTATACTTTATTGTTATCCACTCCTTAAATCCTTCAAACAGGCTTAAAAGTTTCTCACCAACTTATCTATGCAAAACTTTCTGCAATAACTATGAAATAATGTTAGGAACCCTATGAGACAGTGGGAGCTGATGCCCAAATGTTCTCGTTCCTTTTAACACAAAAGCAGCCGAGCAGCCCAAAATCACCTCAACGAGCTCCAGCCAAACGCAGATTTTCCTTTTCCTACGGAGCGGTGACGGCTTTTGCTCGAACATCACTGATGGCCTTTGCATGGCCAAACCCACCAATGAATAAATAAAAGCAACTGAAAGCGGGGGTGAGAAGAGAAAACCCACGGGTTCTCCGGCACAAAGCATGCTTCAGAGTTGGGAAAGGAACGCCGCCACACTCGAGGGCGCTTCTTTCTGAGCAAATCGTCGGTCGGGCTCATCTTTCCCGAACTGCACACCTGGGTCTGCCAAAGAGACGGCTTTGATCGAAAATCTGTGAAAAGCCACAGCTTGCCTCAGCCAAACTGCCCAGGCAACTTACTCCCCTCATTCCCCCACCACAGAGCTACCCCAGTAACACTCAAATTGCCATCCCGACTTACCGCCGGATCTTGTTTACATTGCCGCCATCTTGGAGCTTCTCCCACAGCAGGCCTAACGGCACGAGCTCCGCCCCTCCACAGACCGGCATTGGCCAGCCTTTAGGCGCGGGCGTCTCTATAGCAACCGGTCGTTCTGCGTTTCCAGTCGAAAGGCCGCCTGTGGAAACTTCCGGGTTCTGCTGGCGGGAGGGTTGTCGGTGCGCGGAAGCAGCGCTTGAATTTGAGGGGAAAATTTAGACAGATCGAGAAGGGTTGAAAGCTTTCTTCCGCTGGACTGCTTTGAAAACGGTATAGGTAACCCCGTCTACCCCACAAAAATTAAATTAAAATAATATTCTGAGTGTAGTAAAAAATTCAGGTGTTGCCATGACCAAAGAAGTTCGGATAGCTGAATTTCTTTTGATTATGTTATTCAAGTCGTTTTCGACTCCTAGCGACAATTTAGATAGATTTTCTCCTTGACGATCTGTCCCTAACCTGGTGTTTCAGATCTTCCAATATTGGACCCATCTCTACTGTATCTGGGTCCATCCAGCTTGTGGCTTGTCATCCTCTTTTTCTCTTACCTTCCACCTTTTCCAGCATTAGAGCCTTTGCCAGAGAGCTAGGACTTAGCATAATGTCTCCAAAGTAGGATAATTTGAACCTGGTCATTTGTGCCTCTTATTTGTTCAATGATCCATCGGTTTGTTTTCCCAACACCAAAGTTCAAAGGCATCAATAGTCTTCCTATCCTGCTTCTTCAAAGTCCAACTTTCACTTCTGTGGAGTGCACAGGGAATCCATGGCTTGCACAATTCTGATCTTTGTAGGTATAGACACATCACTGCATTTTATATCTTTTCCAAGGCCTTCCTGGCTGCCCTACCTAGTGATCACTGAATTTTCAAATAAGGAATGACTCCACGGATTTCCTTCCCTTGTATTAACCATGATCTTGAAAGTGTTGTTTGTGCAACTTGAGAGGTGTGACAGACGTTTAAAAGGCAGTCCCTCCACAAGTGCACGGGGAATAGCTATACTACTGGAAGTAAACATTTCTGAGAGGAAAAATTGCTGCCTATTGATTTCGTTTGATTTAATAATCATTAGCTAAGGCAGAAACAAGCACACAGCAGGTTATTTGTGCCAAGAGTTAACACCCAAGGGGGTAATCCTCCCTTACCTACCACTTAGAGACTGATTTCTAGAAATAATAATACTATAAGAATTTAGGTATATTGGTTTGGGTTTTTCCCCAAGCCTAATGTAGTAGAGAAGCTTTCAGGACTTTGTTTCCTAATTAGAAGCTT